CAGACTCTTGGGTATCCAAGTGTGAGTCCAAGTCCCACATTGGATAGAATTGAGAAAGTAGAGCAATATATAAAGATGAAAAACCCATTAACCTATTGTCTTAAGATTTTGGGTAAAGAGTGGTGTCGATCCCTTATATAGTTGGCTCAGATGTTATTGGTGTTCGTGTAACCCACATGGGAACCTCCTCCTCAATAGACCCAATAGTGGTATCAGAACCAACCCACATTGGAAGACAACCATGCAAAGTGTCTATTCAGTAACCACACAAGCATCCAAAAAATGTAACGATGAAAGATAATTTTTTCTTATCTTTTTATTTTTTAGATATTTTAATATTTTTTTCTTTTAAATTAGTATTATATTATTGTTGATTCTCGTTTATTATTTTATTATTTATTTATTATCAATGCAAGCGAATGACAACATATATGCAATTTCTATTCTCGTTTCTTCTCTTCATGCGTTCTTCTTTATATGGACAATTTCGAAAAAGATTTGTTACTCAGAAGTATTGACTTTGATGTAGGTGTTATAGCCTTTGTACTAAGTCAGATGCTACTTTGCTTTTGCAAAGGCAACTATGTTGCTTGTATGGATTGACCAGACATAAAGCATTGAAGAAGCATTCCTATAATGTCTTCATATCTCTTAACCTTCAACACATAACTTTTGAATAAAGCATTTGTCTTTTATGTATCTGCATAAATAAAAAGAAATAACACATCAAACAAAAGAGTATTATTCGTACATTTGAATTTAAAACATTAGACGTTCATTATAGCCTTTAGCAAGGTCCATGTACTATAGCGTTTATGCTAGTCTATTTATCAAATGGTTGCATTTAGAGTAATCTATTGCATTCATGCTAGACTCTTCTCTTTAACGTTTAGGATAGACATTGCATTTAGGATATTGTTTAACATATATGTTAGTGCGTTAATCTATACGATCATTTTTATAAACACTATTTTGTTAACACTAGTGTAGAAATCACATTTTATGATGTACAAAAATGACCTATTATGATGTAGTTGCTAGGGACATAGTTTTGAGTGATATAGTAAGTATGTGTAGGGTTGGGCAAAAATAACCTGTACTATACTATAGTTAACTATACTATATTATACTTAAAAAAAACTAATCCACTTTTACTAAAAGTTCAGTATACTATTTTATGGTTTAGTTTTTAAAAACTGAACTTATAACAGTTTCGGTTCAGTTAACTGTGAGAACTGTATATACTCTTTTCTCTTTTCTAGTTCCCGTTCAACTTCTCCGTTGCTAAGAAAACGTTATTTAATAATAAAATATAATAAAAGAAACCGTTCAAATAAAAAATTAATAATGAATTTTTTAAGACAAAATTTTTTTATCACAAATTTTTATATTTTTTTTATCAATAAACATATATTACTTTTTAAATAATATTATTTTAAGTAATAAAAGTAAAATATATTTTTTAAAATTTAATTTTATTAAATGATTAAGTAATAGAAATCATAAAAGAAAAAAAAGACTATATAAAAAAAATAATACTTTAAATATATTATATTCTTTAACATATTATTAAATATGTAAAAATATGTTAAAAAAACTTTTAATGATATTAAAATATGTGTAAGCGCACACACTAAAATAACTATTTATTTTAAAAATCATCTTACTTTAAAATAATTATCAATATTATTATTTTAAAAATCATCTTACTTTAAAATAAATATCAATATGTGTAAGCGCACACACTAAAATCATCTTACTTTAAATATATTTTTAACGTTAAATTTTATTAAATGACTATATAATGAAATATCATAAAAAAATAGTAATGTAGCAAAAATAATTAATATTATAGAAATATCAAATGACAAAAAAATTAACAAACGTTTATTAAGAGTAATTTTTCTAGTATCATCATTTATTATATTATAATAATTAATAAATATTAGTTTAATTTTTACATAATAAAATATAAATAATAAATAATTGATTAATAAAACAATTTTACGAGGCAACAAAATAAATATAAATAAAAAGACAAGGAGGAGTGTTAAAATTATGTTTTTGTAACTGCCTTAATTTATTTCAATTTATTAGATAACACTCAGTTAATAAGTGGAGCAAGTCAGTTTTGTATCCACGTTTTACTAAAATCTTGGTTAGTGGGTGCTTGGGTGCTTTCCATTTTACTAGAATTATTATAAACATATGTTGAATAAGTTAAGTTCCTATCTTCATTCTTAAAAGTATCCACTGTGTTCTTTTTTTTCTCCTCTGTTACTTTATTTTTCTTCTATACGCCCAACAATATCATTCTCTTGCATAATGTTTCCTCTGCCCTCTAGTATAATGTGGTTGATGTGCTATTAGGATTAAAAATAAACCTATCAACGTGAATATTATCCAAAATCCTTCCTATTTTGATGGAGCACTTGCATGATAGGATAGAAATATGCATATTGGTAATGCAACATTTTTTAAATTCAATGTGTGGATAAGTATATTTAAACATTCGTTCCATCTTCATACTAGACTCTTCTCTTTAATGTAATCTATTGCATTCATGCTAGACTCTTCTCTTTAATGTTTAGGATAGACATCGCATTTAAGATATTGTTTAACATACTCGTTGCACTTAGTATGTTATTCTATACGATCATTTTTATAAACACTATTTTGTTAACACTGGTGCAGAAATAACATTTTATGAAGTACAAAAGTTACATATTATGACGTAGTTACTGGTGACATAGTTCTGGGTGATATAGTAAGTATGCACATATTATGACATAGCAGAAATTTACGTCATAATAGCTCATATTATGACGTAGTTTCTGTAATCAATCATAATATACGTAATTTATTATGATAAATTTTCATTTGTCCCTTATAATATGGCGAAACATATTATGACATAGATGTATTTATATGTTAAAATATGTGATGTATTATGACATAAATATTGTTAACAATCATAATATGTTGAATGTATTATGACATACATGGTTTAGTATGTCATAATATGTCTTTTTTATAAAAAAAAAATTGATTATTACAATTGACATACAATGAAATTATAATAACGTATTATTCTCTCATCCAATCAATTTATAATCAATATAGCCTCAAATGAACAAATTCAATTGAACTAACAAAATATAATTCATTTCAAATATTAGATTGTCTAATAATATTTAATACATCATTTATACATAAAACTATATATTAAATTAACGTACATACACTACTGAATTGAAATCAAGTTTCTACTAACACTTAAAATAAAAAAAATTAAGTTTTTTTCTAATGTCTTCCATATCTGCAACTTTCATGAAAGATAAATCATTAAAGATCTACGAATAAAATAATAATAATACCTTTGATAAACATTTATGAAGAACGTTTTCGAAATCATATATAGACCAAATAAATTATAATACCTTTGATAAACATACTCTACATCATTCGCGCTTAATTCTAGTAAAGGTTTGTATTAAGAACCTCTGTCAATCCTATGGAGAATGAATAACTCCTAACACTCTGCAGATAAATAAAATATAAAAAAAAATTCTAAAACAGATGACACCATAATAAATAAAAACAAAATCTTATTCGATTCAGGTCAGCCTGTGATGAAGAAAAAAGATTCTTCAAATTTTCAACAATTATAAGAAAAATACATACAAAGTTTCAATAAAAATATTGGATGATAAACAATGTGATTTGAAATTATTAGAAATGAACTGAAACTAGCTCAATTCAAGAAGCTAACTTAAGCGAACCGGAAATCCCAAATAAATACATGGTCGGTCAGGTTTGGTGTTAGAGTTATTAAAAGTCATCCATGAGTCTTTGACAAATTAAGATTTTGGGTAAATGGTCCCCATAGAGGAAGGAAAGACAAGCATACACCAATAAATGAAATTAATACAGTTGCAAAATAGAAGTGAAAAGAAAATGACTAAAACGAAACCAAAAAGCAAGATAAGAATAAAAGTTGAAGAAAAAAAAAATCCTAGTAACATTACCAACCTCCCGAAAATTCCACAATTGATTATGCAAGCAGGTCCAAAAGGGCTTTGTTGCATTCAACATTAAGCAGACAGATTGTATTATTAGTTTATTTGACAGAAGAAGAAAATTCAGGTCAGAAGGCAAAGGTGATAGGTAAAGGTCCAAGGATATTGCTCAACAAATACACAACAATAGGATTTAATCCCAGAGCATGGAAGGGATCTGCCAATCCCAAAACTGAAATGACAGAACAGTCACTATTTTAATTATATTATAAATGAAATAAAATTTTATATTCTTTCAGCTGATTACTACATATTTCATTTCAACTAAAACAACTTATGGTAAATGAACATTAAAGATTACAAAACTAAACCAAAAATCAACATATTTTGCAGCTAGTTGAGTATAAATATTGCAATATCAGTGAAATTAAAATTGCACAATCAAATTGCTCAAAAATCACTGTTGAAGTATGAATAAGAAAATGGAGCAGAAACTATCTTTGGTTTTCTACTTTGGGTGCTTGCTACGCCATTTTGTCCAATGCCAGCCACTTGTTTGGGTATGTTGTCATCATATAATATATTTTACTTTTTTTTTTTTGAAAAATTACAAAATAATTTTTTAATTCTAATCATATTTTATATGCATAATTTCAGTAGTGGCTTGGTCGTCTAAGCAAGACACCCCTTCCCACAACAAGAACTTGAACAAGTGGAGAAAATGACACCGCATGGTCGAGAACGCGAGAGATGCGGAATGCGAAACAAAGGACAAATGGTGAAATGGAAGAAACTGCGAAACCCTTCTTTCTTCCGAAATTGTCCTCTACGTCATATTTCAATTTTTTTAAATTTATTTGAAATGCACCAATGAAACGCTGTTGTTAAAATGTTATCACCAATTGGTTGGTTGTTAAAGAAGCCTTATCGTATTTTGCCTCTGTCTAACTGTGGAAGACGTTCGTGTCGTTTCGTAGAAGAAAAATAGTTAATACTTCATAGTCTTCCTCCTCTTTCAATACTATATGCTAAAAGATAGTAGCAAGTGGCATTCGTTATTTAGTTGTTGTCGAATCCATTCATCAACACAGTTGACTTCGAAACACTGTTTTGCCTTCCCATCTCATCTCCGCCGTTTGCATTTCAGACAACTATGGCCGAATCATTTATCTTCAGCATTGCAGAGTCACTCATAGCAAATCTTACTTCTCGTACTTTTCAAGAAGCTTCTCGATTGGTGGGTTTATACGACGATCTTCAAGACCTTACCAACACTCTCTCTTTAGTCAAGGACGTTTTGTTAGATGCTCAGCAAAAGCAGGAACACAACCATGAGCTCCGTCGATGGCTCTCTCAACTCAAAACTGTCTTCTCCGATGCCGAAGATGTTTTGGATGAATTTGAGTGCCAAACACTCCGAAAGAAAGTGGTCAAAGCTCATGGTAGCACCAAAGACAAGGTCAGTCACTTCTTCTCAAGTTCTAATCCACTTGTTTTTCGTTACAAAATGGCTCAACAAATTAAAGATATCAACAACAGACTAGACAAGGTTGCAGCTAATAAGCGTAAGTTTAGTCTTCAAATGAGTGATGTTGACACACGTGTTGTTCATCGGAGAGATATGACACACTCTCGTGTGAGTGATTCAGATGTGATAGGAAGGAAACACGATAAAGAAAAGATCATAGAGCTTTTGATGCAGCAGAATCCTGATGATGATGATGATACAAGTCTCTCTGTTATCCCCATTGTGGGGATTGGAGGCTTGGGAAAAACTACACTTGCAAAGTTTGTGTTCAATGATAAGAAGATCCAGGAGTGCTTTCCATTGAAGATGTGGGTGTGTGTTTCTGATGACTTTGACATTAAACAACTGATTATCAAAATCATCAATTCCGTGAATGATTCAGAATCTGATCATGCTCCTATTCACCAAATGAATTTGAACATGTTAGATCTGGAACAACTGCAAAATCAACT